GATACTGGAATGGATTTTAGAAGTTTGGGCAAAGACTATACTGGGGGGAAGGTTGGCCCATCCATAAAAGGTTTATGAGCTCAAGAACTTCTAGGTAACAAACTTTCCTTGGGTGGATCTCCCACTGGCCTGGGCACAATCTGGATAAAGTAGGAGATAAAGAATTTACATTGCCTTGCCCTCCTCCTTGCTGCTTTCCCCTCTCACTCCTATCCCCCCTGCCACACACACACACACACACATGCACAGCATGGAGGGAAGCCCAGGCCCAGGCTCCTGGGGGTTATACTTATACTGGATTAATAGCAGTTGTGGCCACTGATGACTTGAGTGCTCTTCTCCCCTTGTTACCAAAGAAAAGCGAGCTGCTCAAGGGATTAGTATAGGAGATCGACAGGCATGGCAGCAAAACTTAGATCCCTTCCTTTCAAACATCTTCCAGTCCAAAAACTGCTGACTCTACTCTAAGGGCCAGCCAAGAATATATTAAGGAGAGTGAATATAGAAGGATCCTGTATATAAACCCACTTTTTATTTAATAAGATCAGTAGTATTTTGGGTACTTTATTCCTATAACCTTTCCATGGAACAATATGTTCTTTGCAGAAAAAGCTAAAGAACAAGGTAAACTAGTACTACATCAAACAATGTCTTATCAAATCAACCTGTATCCAAAAGTACCAGACAACACTAGTGAGTAATGCTGCATTTCAGCCAACACTTCAGCTCATTTTAGCACATCAGTTGTAGTTCTTGAGGAATCATTTTGGTCCTCCAAAGAAGTTGAGATCATAATCTTTCTGTTGTTTCCTGCCAGGCATATAAGTGGTTTCACCCTCAGCCTTTTCCAGACCACCAAAACTCAAGGCACTGCAGCAACCTGACCCTCCAATGCACAACTCCCGCCAACTCAAAATCTTCTGAAACAATAGGCTAAAACAAGGCCAGTATTTCAGGAGATGTAGTTTATATGAGGTCCAACACCACTGCCTAAGAACAAATCATAAAACCACTAGCTCTCCAGTCCCCAGCATTATGCCATCTAATCCAACAGGGTTGAACCATGCAAAATGAAAAAGAAATCAGGAACACACTGAACTTAAAACTTCAAGTATATTTTAAATCCTGTTTTAGATTAATTTAAATAAACTGAAGTCAGGCAACTTCTTTGTTCAAGTTGGGTTATTCTTACTGGTCTAATACCAAAAGCAGTCAGTCGCATTTTTTCCACTAAAAAAAATACCCCGACAAAAGAACATTCTAAAACTCAGTAGAGAATATGTAAACAGCTTACACTAAACTTTGCCTCCAAAAATAACTAATGAAGAATATTACTCACTTATCTGACCATGGGAAACAACTATCTGTATATTATTATATATTTTTCAGGTCACAAATTAAAAGCACAAATTTATTTTCTAGCACAGCATTTTCCCAGGGTGTCTTACAAAGAACACCAGTGCAACAGGAGAAAAGCAAGTCACGTAAGTGTGAGAAGCTCTGCCTTCCCTACACCACTTCTTGGAAATGACTGGTCCACATTTGCAGTGAACTCTGTGGACTCCAGCATTTCCCTGAGTTTATTTGGCTCTGCAGCCCTTTTTCTTTCTTAACACATACCAACACCCCAAAAACTGGCTGTTCAGCAGAGCACACTTTGAGAAACATTCTTCCAGAAAAGGGATATAATGAAATGGTCCAATAGCTGAGACTCTGAAGTCAGCCCTATTCAAATACCAGCATCACCACTTGTTAGCTGTGGGACATTGGGCAAGCTTCTTAACATCACTTGGCCCTCAGTTTCCCCAGATAAAGTGGGCAAAATAATAACACCTACCTCTTAGGCATGGGTCTTTCCATATGACTGCAACACTCTTCTGAGAGCCTTACATGGCTGGCTCCTTTTCGTTACTCATATCTCAGTTCACAATGTCACCCCCTCCAAGAAGCTTTCCCTGACAGCCCAATATTAAGGTGGTCTCAACCAAGTCACTTGTTCTTCATTCTTTTCTTTTCTCTATGACTATTCTCTGTTTAATTATTAAATAGATATTTGTGTTCTAGTTTACCCCAATAGATACAAGCACCATGAAGTCAAACTTTATCTGTTATCATTACTCTATCCTAAAACCAATCCATAATAAGTATTCATTCAAAGGATGGATGGGTGAATGAATAAATGAGGTGGTTGTGAGAATTAAATATGAATCATATAAAGCATTTTTATAGTACCTGACACATAAGAACAAGTCCAGATGCTGTTATGAAAACTTTTGATGAATGATGTGGTTAATTCTTACATTATTTAACTTGCCTTTTCTTTCTGTATTGCATGTAAACATTTCATGGCACTTATTTAGAGGTGTGTTGGTAAATGGGCTTTCAGGGGAGTGTGGGTAGACCCCAAGAATAACATTTTACTGATTGTCATTATGTAAATACTCCCACCATGAACAATTTCAAGCTATCAATGGTTTAAAAGCAGGCTCACAAGATTCCTGAAAATATAACAAATGGCTCTCAAAATTTCTTCGGAAGGGTCTTTTCAGGCCTCCAAGTCTTGTTTGTTCAGTTCAAGTTTAAAATAAGATTTTTACATATAGAAACTTTTTCCATGTTCTCCCTTCTTGATGAGCCAAGATAAGGACTATCTCCTGACTAGCCCAATCCTGAAAAAAACTAGTTGGCTATATTAGGCTGCATATTCTGTACCACTTTCTGTGGGCTCTTGGACTGATGTTTAAGGCTCTAAACATGACCTATATCCATTCCAGATTGTTGTGAGGACCAACTAATCTCATAAAACACCAATTAAATTGTGTTTAGATCCATTTCATTGAAGGCATCACACAGCAGAATCAAGGTACCACCTATCAAGTGTGACCAATGAGCAAAATCTAATAACAGAATAGGAGTGACTCTACCTTGACCACAAGATTCTAACATAAAATAAAAGTCAATGCCATAGATGGAGGTTTCTTTGGCACCACAGCTTTACTTTACATGCAACGTGACCCCAAAGCAAAGCATCAACTTTTCTCAAGTACAGCAATCTACCAACCAGAATTTTGACATACAACCAAAATTTCGAAATCTACAGTCACTCTACATGCAAATGATGCCATGCCAGGAATTATTGCTTATCTTCTGTAAAATAAATGGAAAGTCTATGGAGTAACGCAGGGAGATATTACTTTCTGATCAACTATATCAGCTATCTATTGCTTTGTAATAAATTACCCCCAAATTCAGCAGCTTATTATCACATCTATTATCTCAGTTTCTGTGGGTCTGGAATCAGAGTATTAGCTGAATACTCTGATTCTAGTCTCACAAAGCAGATGTCAGCCCACAATCAAGGTGTCAGCCCAGGGCCTGTCATTTCCTTGGAAGGCTCAGCTGGGGAAGGAGCCACTTCCAAGCTCACTGATTGTTGGCAGTTTTCAGTTCTTTGTGGCTGTGTGAGCGAGGGTCTTAATTTCTTACTGGTATTCGCTGGAGGCTGCCCTCAGTTCCTTTCCACATAGGCTTCTCCCACATGGCAGCTTGTTTCAAAAAACCATGCAAGTTGAGAAAGCAATCAAGGCTGCTAACAAGAGGCAAATAACAGTCTTGTGCGACCTAATCATGGAAGTGTCACCAGCATCCCATTACCTTTGCCATATTCTGTTGTTTAGAAGCAAGTCACTAGGTTCGACTTATACACAAGAGAAGCGGACTACACAAGGGCATGAATTACAAGAGGGAGGGATCATTACAGCCATCTTAAAAGTCTGCTCATAATAATCACCCCCTTGGAATATGAATAGGAAGACTGGGCCCAACATAACATCTCTTTAAGCATCTTAATATGAACTAAGCCATGTGGTTTCCCAAGCATATTGCTAAGGTCTCGTGGCTGGGTGGGTGGGGAGGAGAATGAGCACAGAGGACACCAAGTACAAAAACACAAAATTCTGTTCAAATGTTCTAAACAAATATAATCTACATCAGAGAAAACCCCTAGAAATATTCATATTAGTAAGTCCCACCATGGAAGGCATGTTTCTGAACAACACAAGTGACTCATAAGAAGGCCTGCCTATCTGAGCAGGTATATAATGCCAGGAAATATAGCTTGGTCTAGAAGCATATTTATTACAGAATTTTTATTTATTTCTGTAACATATTTTTAAAATATACTTAATGCCACTTTATTGCTTACTGTTTTCTGTGAGATCTGTGTCTCCCACAGCTTGCATGGTACTTTGAGATCCACCATAGTGGCAAAAAACTGCTGTAAAAATTTCAAATGTTGGCTGGCACCCACCTTTTATCTGAGCTCTGTCAAACTGCATATTCTCTGATACATGAGCATGCCAACAACATAAAGTGGTGGTGGCAGGCCAGAGAGGCTGCCTCTGAAATCTTTGAATGATTTAATCCACTAAGTGCAAAACATGTAGAAAACCTGGAACACTCTGTCCTAGATGAATGTAAATGCAAACAAAGAGTATCTTAAATCTAAATGCTCAAAATCAGTCTGCACACTTTACCACAGTTTCCAGAAATATCCATACACTTTACTTGCTGGAAATTCTGCCCCAATTCAACTATAAAAATACTTAGGTTTATTGTGTTGCTAATCACCTATTTTTTTTCTTTTTTAGAAAAATGATATTTGATAAACATCTAAAACTTAAACACTACTATACTTAAAAGGCCCTGAAACAATGACCATCTGTGGGAAAGCAGCTGTAAACCACCCTACTGCTGACATGTGCTACACATGCTTGGATCCTGAATACGTGCTGAATAATAATGGACATATGCGTGGTGAGCAGAGGGAAAAAACTAATGCAAAATTTCAGTTTAAAGGTGAGAAGCAGACAGAAAGGTTATAAAACAGGTGACAAAGGGAATTTTAAGGCTGTGGATGTTTTCCAACCTGTGACAATAACTTGATAACATATTTTAACTTGTAAAATCTGACTTTGGGGCAATAAAATGAATGCCCTTACCTCTCTAAGATGTATGTTTTCCTTCTCCTTCTGGTCTAAAATCACCTCCAAGTGGCTAACTTGAGACTCAGCCTCTGCCACCCGCCGTGTCCGTTCATTGTCATCCTCAAGACTTTTGGACGGCAAGCCTTTACTTTGTAACATCTCAAGAAGCTTTTTAATTGACTCATCTCGGGCATTGAGGGTCTGTTTCTGTGTTTCGATTCTCAGCTCCATTTCCTCCAAGGTCTTCCTCAATAGGAACAGCTCCTTAGCCTGTCTGTCATGCTCAGCTTGCAGGCGCCGGAAGTTCTCCTCAGTCAGCTCAATGGTGAAGTGCTCGGCTCCTCGATTGCCACTCTCTTGCTGCAGGAGGTGGTTGAGGTCTCTCTGGGTTCGAAGCTCATCCTGAAGGGCCTGGATTGTCAATTGCAGGTGCTGTGATGAGAAAGACGGAGCAGGGGAAGAGAGAGAAAGGAAAAGTCAATGGAAATGCCAAGGGCTATTTGCTGGTACCACACTATGAAGATGGAATGTTAATCATGAGGTCCAGAGGGCAGCCGTGAAGTCCTCCAGGGTGACTTCAAAAGCATGGGACAGTACATGGAGAGGGGGATATTAATTCAATGATGCTTTCTGAATGTCTTAGGAGAAAAGAAATGTATACAAACACAGAAACAGTATATTAGTGTCAGTCACAAGGAAAACTATGTATCTACAGTTTTAATTTAGAAAGTGGAAAGAGTTAGAGGTAAACTCACAAACACACCTTCTTTATGCCCACAATGCTCCAGACTCAGTATTCCTTGTTTCCTAAGTGTTCTTTATTCTACTATCCATTATTTTCCATGATAAATGCATGTCCATTTATAAGTGAAAATAATAGCATCCACTACAAGTAGACACAAACAAGGACTTTATTTTTACAAATAAAGCTGTGACGGGGTTTGGTAAACAGGATTACTGCATCTGCAAGCAGAAGGGAACAAACGCAGACGGAGACAGACATGGAAACACACGAGGTGAGGCTGTGCAGAACGAAACAAATGAGCTGCACAGAGCAGACAAACCTTGGTTCTTCTGGCATCCAGTAACTGAACAGCATGGGAAATGAAAAAAATGAAGCAAAAAATCAACACAAAGAAAAGTCCAGTGCAAGCAAAGGATATTTAACAGAAAGAATTTAATCAACATAAAGTACCTTCACAGAGAAAAAAAAAAAAGAAAAAGAAAAACAATTTCTTATTATAGCAAAGACCCACAGGCTATACAGAAACTATAGTATCAATGCTCGAGAAACATGATGTTTTTTAAAAAGTGAGGTTTATTCCACCTTTTGTTTTCCTAAATCTCCCTGACACAGTGAGTTTTGGGTGTGTCGCCAGGGAGAAAAGCACAATACTCCAGAAGCACCTGCACACCACATATTGTTCCTGGTCATCATTTTAACCAAAATCACAGTGAAAGCACCACAGAAACAAAATAGTTGCCAGTTATGAGAAAAGAAATTTGCATGAACACAGTTGGAGAATTCAGCAACAAGTTCCCCACAGGCTGGTCAGAACAGGCAGCCACAGGCCTGAAGGCATTTTTGTCCTAGAAACAAACCAGGAAGCTTCCAAATCACCCAACACTTTCACTCATCAAACACACACTCCTGGCCTGTGGGTGGACCAGACACAATGCTAAGGAAGAGAATCAAGATGAACATAAGGCATAGCTCCTGGACACAGGGAACTCACTGTATTATAAGGGATGGATAATACCATGTTTAAGTTACATAAATACTGGAGCAGTCCACATTTTTTAATCTTTTTGAGGTCCTATGGGTAATGCCCAGAGATGCTGAGACTTTCTGAGTGTGGCCTATACCCAGAAACTAGCAATGAGTGATGCATCATCTTGACAAAACCTTTTATGGATATCCACTCCATCTATACATTCCCACTGAAATTCTAGAGCACAGGGAACAAGTACTCTCTTTCTCATCCATGTGCCACAATGCCTCACAGGGAACTGACTCGCAGTAAGCAACTGGTATGTACTTAATGGTGGTCATTATGAATTATTTTTTTAAATATAATACACCCTTGTAAAAGGTATAAAATTCAGTAGTATTGTAGTATATTAACAAACTTGCACAACCATCAACAGAATAAATTTTGGAATATCTTCATCATCCAAAAAAGAAACCCTATACACTTTAGCAGTCACTCTCCATCCCCCTCTATACCCCCAGCCCTGACAATCACTAATTTACTTTCTGTCACTATGTGTTCACCTATTCTGGACATTTAATACCAATGAAATTATGCAATAAGTGGTTTCTTTCCCTTGGCAAGTTTTCATCCATGTTGTAGCATGTATCAGTATTTCATTTATTTTATAGATGAATATTATTCTGTTATAGGTACATATCATATTGTATTTATCCATTCATCAGTTGATTCATACACAAATATTAACAGTAGCATTATTTACAGTAGCCAAAAAGTGGAAATGACCTAATCTCAATCAACTGATGAATGAATAAATAAAATGTGGAGTATCCATACAAAGGATATTATTTAGAGATACAAAGCAATAAAATACTGATGCATACTGCAACACTGGAGAACCCTGAAACACTATGCTGTATGAAGGAAGCCAGTCACAACAAGACCACATTACATGATTCCACTGATATGAAATGTCCAGAATAAGCAAACCCATAGACAGAAAGTAAATCAATGATTGCCTGGGGAATTGAAATGAGAGGAATGAAGGGTAATTACTAAAAGGGACAGAATTTCTTCTTGGGGTGATGAAAATGTTCTGGAATTAGATAGTGGTGTTGGTTAAACAACTTTTTGAATATACTAAAAACCACTAAATTTTACATGTTAGATGGGTGAACTGTATGGTACATAAATTACATCTTAATAAAACTGTCACGAAGAACATGAAATGGAACTATAAAGTAATATGACATTCCTCTACCAGCTACTCATGCCTAAACCACATCTAAACGAAATCCACAGGAGTATCAACAGCCTTCAACCCAGAAATCTGGCCACTGCAAAGTCTTTTGGGAGTGGAGAGTGCATCTTTAAATCATTTAAATATTTTTAAAGATGACAAATCTTTGTCCTCTGAAAGTGGCTTGGATTTCTAATGTGATCTAATTTTATTTGGATTTCACATTTGATGAATCAGGATGATCAGACTAGAAATCATCTTTTCTGAAAGTGAGCAAAAATAAGATTGGTTTTCTTAAGTGATTCATAGGTTGACCAGAAGGGAATTCCAAAGACAAAATGCCAAAATTCTTTCAACAGAGACAGCAATACGAAGACAACTAACTCTGTAAAGGGGCTGCCCCTTTGGATGGGCAAGTTGCCTACTGCCCTGGTCCTTTGTTTCTATACCCCAAAATGGAAATTATCATAACACCTACCTCATAGGCTTCCTGTGAGGAATAACTAATATAATGTATCAAGTGCTAAGCTTAAATGCAAAGGGAGGGAGGAAGTTTGGTACAAAGAAAAGTAGAAAAGAAGGAAGGAAAAAAGAAAGGAAGAATAAGAGGGAGAGAGGAAGAAAGTAAGGGAGAAAATTTTATCTATTTATCATTTCAATGTACATTTACTCACCATCCCCCTCATACTCATGAAACATTAAAAAAGGAAAACAAAAGGTCCATGCGGACAAGTAAACTGATAGTAGAAATATTATGTTATGAGAGTTATGACAGAAGTCATACCTAGGTGGAGGAAATACAGGAAAGATGTAACCTAGGCTACAGACATGGAGGAAACCACCCCAAACCAAAAGAAACCACTGAGCTGCTTCTTGAAGAGCAAATGAGAATCAGCCCCGTGAAGAACAAGGGGAAGAGAACAGGAAGTACAAAATCCCAGAAGCACTGAGCATCCTTACATATGTCTATTGGCCATCTGTATGTCCTCTTTAGAGAAGTATATATTCAGGTCTTTTGCCCATTTTTAATGGGGTTGGGTTTTTTTTGGTGTTGAGTTTTGTAAGTTCTTTATGAGAGAAATGCAAATTAAAACCACAATTAGATATCACCTCACACCTGTCAGAATGGCTATCATCAATAAATCAGCAAACAACAAGTGCTGATGAAGATGTGGAGAAAGGGAAACCCTTTTGCACTATTGGTGAGAATGCATATTGGTACAGCCACTGTGGAAAGCAGTATGGAGATACCTCAAAAAATTAAAAATGGATCTTCCTTTTGACCCAGCTATCCCACTTTTGGGTATATATCCAAAGGAACCCAAAATACTAATTCAGAAGAACATAAGCATCCCTACATTCATTGCAGCATCATTCACAATTGCCAAGATATGGAAGCAGCCTAAGTGTCCATCAGTAGATGAGTGGATAAAACAACTATGGGACGTTTATATATGGTATACTACTCACCCATAAAAAAAAAAGAAAATTTTACCCTTTGTGACAATATGGATGGACTTTGGAAACATTATGCTAAGTGAAATAAGCCAGTCAGAGAAAAACAAATACCATGTGATTTCACTCATATGTGGACTCTAATGAACAAACTGAATAAACAAGGAAAATGGACAGATTCATAGATAGAGAGTAGGATGACAAGTTAGGGGATAGTAGGGGGTGGAGGGACTGAGCAAAATGGAAAAAGGACTCATGGACATGGACAACAATGTGATGATTGCTGGGAGAAGGGGGCTAGAAGAGGACTAAATGGCAATGGAAAAATACAATTAAAAATAAAGTAGAAAACATACGAATAAATAAAAGCCCAGTGGCAAGGACAGACCAGACCTATTAAGGAACAGTTATAGCAAAAATCTGGACAGTGCTTACCACATGGCACACATAGTTCTAAGCTCTTTTAATCCTCAGAACCACTCTGTAAGATAGAAACTGTTATGACCTTCATTTAATAGATGAGCAAATGGAAATGCAAAATGGTAAAGTAACTTGCCTAAGGTCACCCCGCCAGATAAGTGGCATAACCAGGTATTCATCCAGGCAGTCTGACCCTAACACCCCTGCTGAAACCACTCTATACCCACTAGCTTCTGAACTGACACAGACAATTCTGAATGACTGAAAAAAAGAATGGGGAGGAGGGGTGCAGGAGTGGTGAGAATAAACAGGCAGATAATTACGACAGGTACACCAATTGTCAAAATTAAAAATTAGCCATCCTAACCAGACAATTCCTCATTCATAGGATGTTTCCACATTAAACACTTTTCCAGGTAGCCATTTTGTTAATCACCAAATGACTTCAGCATAACTAAACACACTCTGATAACCAATCTAAAATTTAGTTCAAAAATTTCTCAAATCCACATGTCATTTAGTTTTAATATTCATTTTAGATATTTAAAATTAAGCAGGAATCTTCTTATCCCTAAAAAGGGATTCTTGAGTAAAATGCCTATACCTTGTAGAATCTTTCTTGACCACCTTTCTGCATCCTATACTAGGGGATGGGGAGGAAATTTGAAATCTCTCTCCTTCCTTCCTCCCCTCCCTCTCTCTCTTCCCTCAATGTTCTACTTTTAATAGATTTAATTCAGTCAAGTTTCAAAATTCATTTATCAGATAGAAATCTCTACTTAGATATTTAACAGTGATAATCTCAACTTTAAAATATAAAAACAGTCCCTAGCTGGTGTGGTTTCAGTGAATTAAGTGCCAACCTTCAAACCAAAGGGTTGTTGGTTCAATTCCTGGTCAAGGAACATCCCTGGGTTGTAGACCAGGTCCCCAGTAGGGGGTGTGTAAGAGGCAACTACACATTGATGTTTGTCTCCCTCTCTTTCTCCCTTCCTTCTCCTCTCTTTAAAAATAAACAAAATTTTACACACACACACACACACACACATATATATGTGAGAGAGAGAGAGAGAGAGAGAGAGACAGGCCCTGACTAGGTAACTCAGTTGGTTACAGCATCACCCTGATACTCCAAGATTGCAGGTTCAATCTCAGGTCAGGGCACATACAAGAGTCAACCAATGAATGCATAAATAAGTGAAACAACAAATCTCCTTCTCTTCTCTTCCTCTTTCTAAAATTAATAAAGCTAAATATAAAA